CAATTAATTGAACAAATATGAGTTATGTAACTTACCATATACCCTTACCCCATATGAAATTTAATTAAAGAGAAGAACCTGAAGTTTTACTCGGAAGAGAACAATTAATCTTCGAAAAATTCGAAATTTGCTAAAAAAAAGTAAATGAATTGTTCTATAAACGATACATACATACGTACATAGAAGATTGAACACACCAGAAACCTAGCGTTTGAACTCTATTACAATTACACATTTTTCTTTAAAAAATTTCCGATGACCTCGCCTACCCCTACAACAATCCACAAGTACATAGAGTTAGCAATTATAAATGTTTATCAAATAAAATTTAACAATAAAGTGTTTGCATTACTTTAAGGCGTTGCATTTATTCAAATTAAATAAAGCGTTGGAAAGTCTAACTGAGCGCACTCACTTCAGATGGTTGAATCTTCGTTACTCCAACACCGAACACGTTACTTCTTGCATATTTATACAATATATATATAGGTATATTATATATATACATATATATATATGTATATTATATATATACATATATATATATGTATGTGTAAGCAAAACCGAGGGATTTAACCAAATGACTGACTACTGCTCTGACCCGTACATCGTTCATTAAAGCAGAATGAATGCTTAAAGGGCATCAAAAATAGATTTACAATGCAGCTGGAGTAAAGACGATAAAATTCAACATTCGGTTATTAATTTATTTTCAAAAATAAAATTTATTAGTGTGTGCTAATTCTTGTTGCCTGGATGGAAATCTATGTATTTACAGACAGTCAGCTGGGAAAAGCGCTCGTTTTGTCAATTAATTTATTGATTATTATAAATAATAATATTTGCTTAATTTACTATTTGCTTAAAACAATTTCATCCAAAATAAATATTGTTTTTTTTTTTTAATTTGAAAAAAAGCTTATAAAAACATATAAGCACATTATTTTAACAGGCGCACAGGCCACATTCCTACAAACATATATATATCTATATACTTAATATTTAAACTTTGTTTTTGGCGTAATTTTTTTTTTTAACTCAGAACTGACAAAAAGACTGATAATTTGCAAGGATGTTTAATTAAAACAAAATATTTAAAAAAAAATTTAATTTAAAATACTAACAAGGCAAGGTTCCTGATAATTGGCTTGAAATTATAAAGTATTCGTTACATATTGTACATACATTTATACATTTTTTTTGTGTATTTTTTGGGGTCTCTGAGAAATAATTTAGCAATACAAATTATTTAACTCCGCCTTAAGCTAATATGGCATCATTTGCTCTCAACATATGGAAGCCAATCCTGGCAAATATTTTATTTTTTTTTTACATTTCGCTGATCTCACGTCTCTCTTTAATTGTCATTAATTAATTACAACAAAAATATTTACACTTTTAATAACTGTACCATCTAGTTTAGCTTATGTCGGCCTGTAATGCTTTTTAAAATATTTTTATCTATTTTTCTTTTTTCAGTTTTTTTATTTCCGTTTTTATATCCTTTGTCATATTTTTTTCTTTTATATACATATGTA